TGGGAATGACTGGCCACAGCTACAGTGTCTACAATGCCGTTTATTTTGTAGCACACGCCCTGCATGCTATTTATTCCTTGAGAGCCCAACAGAAAGGAAGGAGAGATGAAGACAAACAGGATCCTTGGAATATTCATCCATGGCAGGTAATTACTTGAAAAAATAAGTTTAGGATCATGTAAAAAGCCAGACAGAGGAAAACACGGTAGGCCCTCCAGTTTGGGGAGCAGGAGCGAAAAGTGAGGTCTTGCCTCATTACTCAAAGGGGAGATAAAGGTCACTGAAGATGGACTTGACCTTCACAAAAAATCCAACTTTATTCTAGAGACTCTTAAGCTGAGGGCTATCACTGCTTAGTGATAAATGGAGTGATAAATGAGTTCACCAGTTCACATTTAGTGGCCATCCATTTCGTGTTTTCTGTGTTTTTCAGAAATGCCACACTTTCAGTCTCCCAAGACTAAGAAAACGTTTTTCACACTTCAGTACATCACCCATTGTGCCTTGGCTGGATCATTTCTGAATGTTCAGACTGTACAGAGCTTTGACATATTTCTCTCTGACTAAAACTGTCAACCTTTTCTTCCTTCTTCATCCAGCTTCACACGTTTCTGAAAACTCTCCACTTCAACAATAACGCTGGAGAAGAAATATTTTTGGATGAGAAGGGGGACCTGGAAGCTGGGTTTGATATCATCAACTTCGTCATCTTTCCCAACGGGTCCTCCCAGAAAGTCCGGGTTGGATACATGGACCCCCTGGCGCTTGAAGGCAAACAATTCACTATAAATGGAAGTGCCATTGTGTGGAATCAGAAATTTCATCAGGTGGGGATGCTGAGACTTTATATTGATTTAGCTGTACCTATTTAGACCGAAAGGTTGAGCTAAGTGTCACCTGCCTTGTGTTTCATGGGGAAAGGAGGTAGTGTGGCCAAATATTTCTCTCAGGATCCATGGGGTGATCCTTCAGTCCTCGAAATGCCTGGGGATTTACGAAAAAAATTATGCCTCCCCCAAAATTCAGAAGCCACTGCCTCCAGCAGTGGTCAGTGTTCTTGCCATCTCTCTCTCATTCCCTTCACCCTGTTCTATGCCAAACCTTCTACTTCAAGAGATCCATAGGAGTATCTGGGGAGTCACGATATAGATACTAAAATTACAATTCTTTTGTAATCAAGGAAGAAGTGATTATAGTATAAAAAAGAGTACGATTCTGCATTTTCCCTTACTTTTCTTTCTGTTCGGGAGCAGCAGAAGGGTCCTGTAACCCATCTTGACTGTTGACCTTGGTACCAACAATATTCTGGATGGCTTTGCTAATTAAAGCTTGGTGGGGTTTTTTTCCTTCTAGGTAATGCGAATAATATCAGGTTTTTCTTTTTTGGTAACACAATCCAATGTCAGGGGGTCCCTCTCTAAATACTCAGCAATACTATTTTCTTTGGGTTCAGTGAATCCATTTTGTGGTGATATTTGTGGAACCAGCCTGGCACTGTTCTTCTCTACACCGTAGTCTACTCAGAGTCTACTGCTTCCAGGGAGTAAAAAATGTACAAAGCTAACTACATAGAACCAATTCACCCACCTTGCAAGGTAGACTGCCACACGCCCAAAAATAAGAAAACACCTGATAGCTGGTTTCGGCACAATCTCGTTCCTCTCAGCCAAAAACCCAGACAGATGGTTGGAGATATTTTAAAATTTTATTAAAGAGAATAAGAAGGCAAGAAGGCAAGAAGCCAAAAAGTTTTCAAAAGGGTTTCAAAAGATTGGAAAAGAAAAATAGAGTGTATAATAATCAGGTAGGGACAAATAAGGTATGAGTCAAAGCAAGTGTGATCAGGAGAACACATGAGAAACACACCCTAACAAAGCTAGGCTAATCTAATACTCATACATAAGCATAGAATCAGCATAAAGATACACAAAATACATCCTTCCAGGCACCGCATTGCAGGACAGCAAGTGAGCATAGCATCTCATAAGAGGCAAGCTCAGCCAATCAGAGGAACATCTAAATCACTTTTTATACATTAAAGGTCCTATTCCAGATTGTCTGCCAATCAGGATTTAGATTTCCTTAAATGTTCACAAACACAGCCTCTACACAGCCGAAATCATCTCCCAATTAGTGCAGTACCAAGGAACAAACTGACTTTGCTTTGGAGGCTGCCCTCAGAAGACCTAAGCTGCAGGTGTTACATCCTCCTCATGATTAGGCATACACTGATGGTCACATTCCCTGTCAGATTTTTCCAGACACTCACAGAAAAGCCTGATTTTTCCACATAGATTCCATGTTCAGTGATTGAACTCACTGAGCTTATTCACTCTCTTAAATCCCGGAAAACTCCTGGCCCGGACAGAATTCCCACTGAGTTTCTTACCAACAACCATACATGGTGGTCTATTCCTCTCGCCCATCTTTTCACCATTGTCAATAAATCAGGTATCATTCCTGAAACCTGGCTCAACTCAATTATTGTCCCAATATACAAAAAAGGTGACCCTTCTCTCCCTAGCAATTATAGACCAATAAGCCTTCTATCCTTTATTGGTAAACTCTATTCAAGATTCCTTCTTAAGAAACTTACTGCCTGGGCGGAAGACATTGGTCTCCCATCTAGGGAACAAATTGCCTTCCACCC